CCTTCTTAGGAGTTAAGCTGAAATTTACCTTAGGACTACAAACTACCCCTACCACTAAGAACAAGTGTGATGTCACTGTTTTACGACACTCAGAGTTGCAAAGTAGACACCATAGGGATGTAGCTTTTTTTTGTTTGTTTTTTTGACAGCGGAGGTTTTTCTGACATGTCTTAAGGCCACGATATGCTAACCCTTGGACATAGGAATAAAGCTTAACCTCTCACACTAAGGTGGCATATTTGAAACATAGTAAAGCTCCAAACACTGCTTGAAGTTGTATGACGGAGATATTCACTCAGTAATTGACTACCATGAACCTGCGAACAGAGTTCCCTGCAGACCTCCCTCTTTCATGTTATTAATCAGGATAAGACCCCAAACCAGGATACTCTTGCTCTTTGAGGAAGTGTTACATTTTGTCTGAAATTACCAAAGAAAGCTGTGTCACTGGACACCACACATGAACTTTTGCACTTCCTCCTTTCAGGGATGTGTGCTTACTTCCTCTTTTCTGTGATTCTGTATTTTTCACTCTTTTAGATGTAAAATCACTTCTCTCCATTCTTTCAATACAATCATTTCACATTTTATTCTTACACATTCTCTGATTATTATTTCAACAAACACACACATAAATCATCTTATGATTATCCTTACTTATTAGAAGTTTAACTTTCTATGCATTCTGCCACAGCATTTTAATTATAATTCCTTTGTCTTCTTCAACCTCCCCTGGAACTTCCTCTTTCTCCTCTGTATCTTGGTGCTCGTTGGGGCCCGTTTTTACAGTTTTGCTGACAGACAGAAATGCTAAAATCAGCATTCGGGCCATTTGTCCATTAAATCAAAGATCACATAGTTTGCCTCCAGAGCCACTTGAGTGTAAATGCTGTGATAAAACCTTCACTTCACTTGAGAGTCCTTTTAGATGCTTGAGGCAATGACTTCCATGTGTGCCATCAGTGACTCCAACAAATCTAGGGGAACAAGCGATTTAAATTGTTTTCGTTGATTCCACACTGTGTGGTGAATAAACCTCTGCCTGTACATATTTGTCTGACCTCCTAGCAGCTCCTCCTGATAGGTTAGGACACCTCTGGAGCTCTCTAACATTTTGGTGAAGATAGGAGCAATTTCCCAATTGAGGAATGTTGATAAAGTGTTCTTACATCTATTCTTAAAATGGGATCAAACTGCATAATTCTTCTATCAGATGCATGATAAATACGGTCCCAAAGCTAAACTCTTAATGACATTTGACAAAATTTCAACTTTGTCCTCTGTGTGGTGATGATAAAGCCAATTTGTTCATATCACATACTGTATGTAAATCACCAATAACAGGTCACTAAAAATATCCTTTCATTTCTTAAAAAAGGTTCACTATAGTTTTTAGCAAATGTTACTCAAAGAGCAGTAAGTACTGCATTTGATGGGGACTATTTTCAACTGCGGATGAATACCCATTTAGTGCGCTAGTAAGTATTTTAGGCAGCTGGATGGTGCAAAGGCGACAAGACTCAAAATAAACTAATAGGAATATGTCACCCTGCCAAACACTGTGACACATTATTATCTTTCAAACATTCTACAGAGACAACAATAAGGATTTATGGCACAGAGAAGACGAATGACTACTTACTAGCAAAATCAGTTTAATGTTGATTTAAGTCTTTTAGATGGAATTATTAACAATAAGGAAAACATAAAATGTGACCAAGCTTTAAAGCCAATTAGGTCACAGACTAATATGTTCCCACATACTGAATTTTTTTTTATTCACTATGTGCCTTTTATTCATAACCAAGTTGTCCTATTATTCTGGGCTTCCATCTATAGCACTTAAGGATGCCTGTCTCAAAAAGGACAAACAGTGAAAACCTGACTTTAATGATTCCACATAGCATTGCACTTGTTTGGTTAGATACATTCCATAATGGCATGGACTAAGTAAGCCTTTCCTTTGTGCCTACTTTCTGTTCTGTAAATGTCATTGCAAAAAGCTCTTCCACTACCCTGATTTACTGCATGACTATCAAGATATGTGTGTGGTTTGTTTCTCACGGTGTTATGTTGTTTGTTCTCCACTGCTGCTGAAACACTGAAATTTCCCCATTGAAAGATCAATAAAGTACCTACCTACCTACCTACCTACCTACCGACTACAAGGCCCAGACTGCTTGCCTATTCCTGTAACACAACCATCATACTGATGAACACTGGTCTCTGAAATAAATAGAGATTGTATACAGTGCATCAACTAAGCAACATGTTTGGGTTTCTTCCCATGCTCAGGATGGATTTATTTTCATGTAGAGATGCCTCTAGCTCCAAATTGTATTCGAGTAAGTGCCCTTCAAGGCCCATTAGGGAGGAGGTCAGTTTTGACAGAGCCTGGTTTAGAAGCTCTTTAGAGGACTGGGGTCTCCATCAGTGGTTAACAACCTAATCCAAAAACAGACAGCTTTACTTTGTCTCCAAAGGGGGTAGACTGGGGATGAGGATTTAATAGAGGTAACCCAATTAAGACAAGGCTGATACAGAAAAAAAGGATTTAATGGAAAAAGAGGGATAAGGTCAGGACAGCGTGCACTGGCCTGCTGTTGGATGATACATAGCAAAGAAGTAAGGTTCCCATTTCATTTTGTCCAGTGCAGCTTACTTGAGTTAGATAATACATCACAGTGAACATGACGTCAACTCTAACTAGTGCAGGCGTGGGGAAAAAACTGATTCACATAGGAGTCATAACTTTATATTTTACTATTCTGAATCACTGTCCAGGATGTACCCAACCTCTCGCCCAGTGTCAGTTGGGATTGGCTCCAACCCCTCTGCAACCCTGTTCAGGATAAGCTATATAGATAATGGGCAGGTGGATGGACTATTCTGAGTTAACGTTTGTCCATAATAATGTTTTGTCGATGATACAAAAAATGAATATCACCCTCAGCAGCAAGACACAGTCCAGACTACTGCTGCTATCTTTTAATTCACCTAATTTTGGATCTGGGTCTAAGTTCATAAAATACCCACATTTGTTAATGTCAATGGCCAACAAATCTCTTACCTAATTTTTCATATTTGTTCTAGTTAGTGTCTTTTGCCTCTCTCTCTGACACTACAGGCACTGAAAGACTGATAATGTATACAAATGCATGATAACTCCAGATGCTGTGGTTAACAACAAACATGGCAATTCAGATTAAACCGTAAAAAGCAATATTTTAGTGAGGGTGCTCATGATGAAAGGGGGGAAAACAAGTCCTTTGTTTAAATATCTATTGTCCAAAATGTTAAAGAACTTGTGTTGTTTTTGATGAGTTAGGCTGAGCAATCGTCCAATCCATTGCCACACTGTATTTCTGTGACCTGCAGCAGTGTAATATGTTCACAAGACAACAGTGACGAATGTTGTCATACTTCATACATCATCACCCAAACTCCGGTGCCAAGGAATGAGCTGGCTGACCAACACACACAGCATCACTCAACAAAATTAAACTAAAACCTGCATACATTCAGTTGAAAAACTGCACACCATCACACTGAAGAAGCTAGACCACTTTTTCTTGAAAAACAGTCTACATTATTAAGATTAAAATAGCTACACTATCAGCATTACATGTTTAGGCTCAACCCATTACCTCACTTACCTGTTGGTACCTAGTCATTAACTGAATTAGGACTGAAATGCTTAGCTGATTAAATAAATAGCTGACTGACAGAAAATCAATTAGCGCCTGGGCATACAGTGTTTCCCTCATTATTTTCCAAGCAGAAATGCCAAAAATTCATGGGGTCCAGTTACTCAGTTGTGACGTTTTGCTGTTTCTCTCTTCTATACCATATTGTTTGACAAAACAATAAAAAGTGACAGCTATATTCAAAAAGAGGTTGTTTTTTTATTCAAAGTCAGGTCTTCTTCAGGTCAAAAGTCTCATAGGCTACTCCACAGTAAATACTGTACTGTACACCAGACAGACGAGTTCTATGATGCCAGGTGCGGTTCAACATCCAAACCACCCAGACTGACAAACATCTCAAAGCAATTAGCAACTCAAGGTATGCAGACGTGCGAGGGCAATATATCAACAATACACAAAAAAATAGTTATAAGCTAGAAAAGAGACTGTCTTAAAATGTTGTACAAAACCACTGGATAGAACTGGTATGGTGACGTCAGAAGTAGAGGGCTACATTGGCACAGACCGACGCATTGGTCACTATGCCAATGCTCAACCCTGCGCGTAAAAAGAGGCCTTTTTCCAGCACGTTGCTTTTATTGTCTGTTTAATTGATGATAAACATCAGCGAATCTCAGAAAACAACCATGCTCATCCTCTCTTGGGACCTGGGACTCTTAAAAATATAAATAAACTTAAATTAGTTTCTATGGTCTACATAAACTGCTGTGCTTTTTAAAAGGATATTTGCAGGACACGTATTAATCCTTTAATAACTTTCCAGATTTGGTCGCACAACAGTTGTTAACACAAGCCTTTTAAAAGCACCAATTCCACTGCATGCGTGTCTGTGCTCCCACATAAGTTTGGTGTTAGTCGGTTAATTAAGGGTTTCAATTACGCAGTAATTAAATACACCTTTAAATGGTGTACTTTCCAACTGAAAACAACTATAAACTGGGATAGCTTAAAAAGTGTTACATAAGTCGACGTCCACACCAGCATGCGCTTCTTTTCTATATGGAAAGGCTACTCTATGTAAATTAGCTTTAAAATTCGCTACCTAAGAAAAACAACTAGCGTAATCTGACCTAACGCATAACCAACACGCACATGCGACATAACGTTAACTTATATTCAAGAAAAAACGTAAAAACATCAGAAAATGTGAAATATTTAGTTGAAGCATCCGAGAAAAGCCACAACCATTGTCATTCAAACCCCGACAGCTACTGTATGTTCCTTTACTAAACTTTCCTGGTAAAAAAAAATAAAAAAAATAGCAAAAGAGCGAATTATCTTGGTTTTACTTACCGCTCCCGCTGAGGAGGAAGATATGAAGGAACAGCGGCAGAAATGTTCTGTACAGCAAAGCCATGTCTTCGCTGCTCGACGTATCCAGTCCAAAATAAACTGAAGTGCAGCGGTGTGTCGACGAGAAGTTAGCCAGCAGCCCTGGGGGAGACGGAGGAGAGGAGAGGGGAGGAGAGGAGGAGAGGGGAGGGAGCTCAATTAGAGCCTGTCTGGCGGGGTCCTCCTATTGTTGGTGTGCATGTGTGTGCTCGTTGTACTGTAGCTTATCAGTTTTCTTCTGCCACAAACCACCCTCCCGCTAATTCTCAGCATACATTTCTTATTGGTAGAAAGTCCTCAAGGTCATGACTAAATAAGCACCTTATCAAGCCTCCACACCTTTTTAGCCTAAACCGCGTGGTCCGTTGGCTGAATTCGGCTTAACTGGGACTCTTTATTTGCATAAGTTCATTTACACAGTCTGAAACTGACTTTTGAAAGGTGTAGGCGACTAGTCAGGCGGAAGTACAGTAAGGTGCCACCCAATGGCTCCAACATGACCCTCATCAGAACTGTCTGAAAACCTGGCTTATTTTTTTCTGCAATTTTGAAAAGCTAATATACCCTAAATAAAGTATTACTGTTACATTAACATATTTTAGTTTAGTACAACCTCTGGCTTTTTCAGTTTTACTGCTGTGTTTACAAATATGACTAATGCAAATAAATCTTCAGCAGAATCATTAAAAAACTAACAGTTAGCAATACCACATTATTTAACTCCTGTTCTGTTTCAAGACCAGTCAGTCAGATGGAGAGCATAGCGTGGTCATTAGTCTGGTTTTTAGTATAAATCTGAATTTTGCCTTAAGTCTTATTCAGTTTTCATTAATACACAAACCCTTTCTAAGTATAGGGGCCACAGATAACGCTCCTCCTTTGTCTCATGCCCAGGTGTAATAAACACCTAAGAACTGGCATGTAATAAGTCATACCTACAGACATGGGCACAGCACATGCATGGATATAAAAAAACTGTGCATGTTTACACAACATGTATAGCCTATTTACCAGAAAGCGTTTCCAAACATACTGTATGTGGGGCACTCGTGGTGGGACACAGTGATGGACTTATCTTCAAAGATGAATTGATAAAGCACTGAGTAAAAATACATGTACACTGTCACTTTCAGTTATTCATCATCACTACACTGCAATGTGTGTAATTCTTTGTTATGACCATTCAGATTTATTTAAGGACACTTTAGGAAGCCTGCAGTTTGGGAACCTACTGAACATTCCAGTCTGTCAGAATGAACCCTAACACTTATATGAGCCATAACTCAATCAGCCTTTGTCAACTCAAAATAAACTTAGTATGAGCCCCGTGCTAGAAGCGTTCTTCAGCAGCGGCACACATGTGAAAAAGTGTATCTTACACCTCATATCAGGGGATATTTGGTTTGGATTTGAGCCACATTCTCCCCACATTTAAAGAAACCATCTTTCATATGAACTCTATCCATCCCTTACATGAAACATGATTATAACCAGGCTCCACGGTTTTTCCCAAGTGCCGTTCTACACATTTTCTCTTTTGTTAATACCAATAGCTCACACTGGCTCATTCCTCTTTACCCTGAAGCATACCCTCATTACTGCATTGCTAAAGAATAAACTTAGACCATCTGATATGTCAAGCCTTGCATCAATCTTTTTTTAATTTTCATTTTTCAATTTTTATTAAACCTTTGAAGACAATCTGTCTTACTGATGTTTCTTAGAATTTTTATCTTATAAACACTCCTTTTGCAGTGTGTTCAGACACAAAGCGAAACAAATTTCACCTAACATTATTCATGCAATTTTGACTACTGGATCATTTGTGTCTATTCATCCCCAACACCTAATGCATCAGCTGTATGGATGTTAGCTGTAAGCTAGATACCACCGATGCACCAACTGTGTCTGTAGTAGTGTTTGTGTTTGGACCTCTGACTGAAATGAAAACTCACCAGTGACATTGGTTATTTGAAATATTTCCATCCAAATTCCTCATATTAACCTGCACAAATGTTAGATGGTTAGACTTAGGCACAAGGTCTTACAGATAGGGAATACTGTATTTTGATCTATAATAACCACAAGGAAAGACTGTGGTCATGGTTAAAAGAAACCAATGTTGGAGGTGTTGGGGGAGAGCAGGGGTTTCTCCATAAGTCTGCAGTCTTTTGACTGAGGATTTGCCATTGCTAAATCCTCCCTCATTACTCCAGTATCTTTGCTTCTTGCCATTTTCCCTCAGCTTCTCTTCAGTTTTAAGTATTCCCACTGTGCTAAAGTAATTTCACCGTTCAACTCTACTGCTGTCCTGAGGAGGGTGCAGACAGGCATGTGCTATGTCCCTGGCAGATGGCATGGCTAGCTTGATGTCGACACTATCCCATAAACATTAAATCTCCCTCTGTGCAGGTGCCCCAGCAAACCATGTGCTCTCATTATCTCATCTCTGAACGGAGTTGTGACCACTTGTCCCCTTAGAGGGTCACTGAAATCAACACAAAGTTGTTCTGAGTGATCACCTTTACCTTATGATGAAACGTTCCTCTCCAGGTGGAAGTGGTGTCTTACAGGATGAGTGTCCCCATCCATAGGACACAAGGGGCCACTGAATGTATGGTCTTCACAGTCACCAGATCTCAAACCAGTTGAACACCTATAGGAGATTTTGGACCGACAGTGCTCTCCACCACCATCATCCAACCAACAAATGAGAGAGTATCTTTTGGAAGAATGGTGTTCATCCTTCATTTAAAGTTCAGAGACTTGAAGAATCAATGCCAAGATGCACTGAAGCTGTTCTGGTGGCACGTGGTGGTGCAACACTTTATGTATGTATTTGTCACCAAGTTGTAAAGCACTTTACAAAGTGTACTGGAGGTACAAATCTAAAAAGTTAGAGGTGTAGAGAATATACAGATAAAACATATAGCAGCATAACCTAATGTAAATAGCAAAAGTGTCATGTTTAAAGACATATTTAAGTAGCTAAAGTTAATTTTCCTCTCACAGGGTTTTGAAAATGATACATGAAGCACTCAAGTCAGAAACAGTACTGAAACCATATTTGGTGATGTGATATCACAGTAAAAACCTATATCTTTCTCCTTAATTCTTGGCTCAGAAATGAAAGCTGGGCAGCAAAATATCACTGGCTTTTGGAAATGAAGTCTGTTTTATGTAGAAAGAAAGTCAGATGCTTTGATGTAGGAAGATTTCTAAAACCCCATCTGAAATCCTTCTTTCCCCAGCAGTGGAAAGGCAGACAAAAAGATGATTCCCCTCCACCAAATCTTTCTACTGTACTTTAAATCAGCTATGCCTCTTTGTTATGTACCTGCATTATTTCCCTTCCCTTCTGGCTTCTTCTTCCTCTTTTTTCCCAGCCATTTTTAGTGCTGTTGTGCAGCTATAGAATAAAAAGAGAGATGGGGTGGGGGAAAAAAAGTCAAACTGAAAATGTAATGGTCAGATTGGTGTCAGGGGAGATTCACTTTCTTTTATGGTGTAAACAGCCAAACTCTGTCCACTCACTGTTTTAATAAAGCATAAATATGTCAAAAACATGATGTATATGCCTTATTTTATGTTCAGGATTTGCCCTAAACAACTGCAATGAGGTACAAACTACAGGAGTATTAGTTTCATGTCACTATCAGGAAATATGAAAGTGCCATCCCACTGACTTGGAAAAAGTTTGTTGTAAATTTGTATGACAAAGAAGAGACACAAAAGAGTCACAGACTCACAAAACAACCAACAGCAGCAGACACAGGGAAATAAAACAAGAAAGAGGATATAAAATGTAGGACTGCGCATACAGTAATCTTACAAGGGTTTCGGCAGTGCATATCCTTGAAGTTGGGGGACTCGTGAGAAACAATGGTCAAAACTAATGCAGTCGTTTAGTGTATGGATCAAGATCAAGATCAAGTGTGTATTTGTATTTATTAGGCCTTCCCTGCCACCCCTTATGTGTATAATCAAGTATCCTTTTAACTTTATTACACTTCCCATCTCAAAACAGTGACAACTTATGTACCACTACTGTATAAATCTAACATGCCCCTTTTTAACACTCTACACTCATCTCATATGTGAATACTTCACAACTACCATTTGAGTGGATCAAAGTCCAAGTGAAATGAATACTGTACTCTAGGGCAGCCCTACACAGTAGTCTTCAATGGCACAAAAATTCTTTGAAGTCAGGACATTGTTCATCATCAACATCATCATCATATCAGTGTGTCTGCAGCCTGAAGTGAGCCCACACACTAGCTGCTCTGCTCACACAGACTGGGGCCAGAGTGTTTCACCACAGGGGTGCTAGACAAAGTCAAGGACCAATGGTTTGAGCAGGCTTGATCAGTGGAAGGGTGGGAATTCCATGTCATTCACCAAAAAGTGTCAGGGGGCTTCAAGGACATGCTACCCTACTGGAGAAATGCATTTGAAAACTTTTTTTGGTGCAGGCCAAGGAATAAGATACAGTATGTATCTGTAATGTCTTAAAGTAAATTACATTAGTCACAGTAATAAGCATGCAAATATGAACATAATTTAGGTGATCAGGGAGAGACAGTCTCTATGAGGTACTGGGAGTCTTGGGTGGGTAGCAGCTGCAAAGAGACTGCAGAGGCATGTAAGACTGAAAGCCTGCATCCTGCTCTGAACTCTGGGTTGGCATCATTGAGGTTGTAAAATAAACTCCTCCAGATTTCTAGATACAAGAGCCGCACCATCCAACATGGGATGGATACCGTCTCTGCTAATCAGACCAGGTTTTCCTCAAAATGTTTTCCAATCGTCTATGAAGCCCACGTCGTTTGATGGGCACCACCTGGACAACCAGCGGTTGAACGACGGCATGGCTGCACAGGAGTCCAGAGAAAAAAAAATGGTTCGACATTGTTTTGGCGAAGTTACACACCAATTCAGCGTTAATATTTTTGACCTCCGACTGACGAAGTCGGGAGTCATTAGCACCCACGTGAATGACAGTCTTACTGTATTTATCCTTATTCTTAGTTAGCTTCAAACAGTAACGTCACCTGCTCTGGCACCAGGATACATTTATCTATGGCCGCTGGTGTCTTCACGGTCACGTTTCTGACTATGGAGTCTCCAATTACCAGAACTGTTTTCTGAGCGGGTGTGTCGCTGAGTGGGGAAAATCGATTTGAAACGTGAATATGGAGGTTATTGGCCATGGGCATTTATTTCGAGCTACGACTATTGCGAACTGTGACCCAGCCACCTGGCTGAGCTCCCGGCTGTCGAGAGGCGCTGAGGGCGGCTAGCTTGAGCTAAGCTACGTCTAAGAAGCCCCGCACCGCCTACACGAGCAGGGCTAGTTGGGCTGTTTTCCATGGTGCCTCGCCTCCAATACTGCTAGCATCTGATATTTATTACAAGTACAATTATCGCTAAAGGAGGCACAGGAATAACTGAATATGCGACACACCGAGCAAGAGGAAGAAGGGAAGCCATTGCTCTCCACTAAGATGCTAGCGTCTAAGCTAG